CAATGTTAATGACAGATTCCATACGCTCCGATTCGATCTGATGTAGTTGCTCACGCAATTCCTGAACATCAAAATCAAGACAAAATCGCAACGACAAAGGGCACGCATTAATTCCCATAACCGGCTTTAGTGGTCCCCACGCGACATATTCCGTGGAAGACTCATAGAAAACGGTAAGTGATTTCCAAATTCTTTTCCATCTTTGTATTTTCATTGTGTCATCTCCTTCTTTTAACAGCTATACTTTTTCGCTCCCTCTCATTGTTGTTCTTTCGACACTTCATCACTTTCTAATTCCCCTTTGCATTCTTGATCTCTTAGTGCTTCTGAATAATCCCTTCTTCTTCTCTTCTATCCGCCATTCTCGCACCTTCTTCTCTTTCAATTTTGGTATCTCATTTCTAATTTATTTTGGCCATATAATCCTAGGATTCACCCATTACATTGCAAGTCATTCGTAAATTACGGGTTCTTTCCTAATGAGGTGTGGAATGAAGCGCCATTCTCGCTCTCACCGCCGCTCACAACCGAATGGATCCTAACAACGAATACAAACAGCGTTCATTGACCTTTCACCAAGAACAGTCAGGTGACCACCTAAGGCCGCTTCCACGCTTAAATTTATTCGGATGTCGCTTGGGTATCAGCACTGCTTTCATTTCCTTCGTTGCATCGCAGCCATCATTAAGGAAGGTGGTCGACTTCATGAATGGCATCGGATGCAACCTAGCTTTTCTTCTCATCAGTGCTAGTCGAACGTGATATTTTATGGAAACCTGAAATAACTAGACAAGGGCGCTCTCAGGTCGTCACCACAGATAGTTGCTGACCCTCATGCATCGGAATAGGGTTTGTTGTCTTGCTACTTGAGTCCTAGCAGAACGACGATGATTGTTGCTGCAACTTCGAACACCGCGGCAAGTCTACTGGCCACTCCAAGACGACATAACAAGTAAAGTGTGGTTAACCAATTAGTAGATTCATAGCTTTAAAAAGCAAAAGCTCAAAACAGAGGTAATCGGCTGCCGAGAAGCCTCTTTAACAAATAGCAATGGCAGAGTGGCGTTGCTCACCTGGTTCGACTTCTTCAACGTTAATTATACGAGATATAGTGGAGCGTTGCAGTGAAGAGAGTTGGATCTATCGCGCGGGGTCGACCCGTGCGTATGTTGCAGGATGCCTTCGACTACTCTGCAACGCGCGCCCCCTATAGTTGCAACTATTCGCTACTTGGTGCTATGGTTTTCATATAAACATAATGTCGTCGAGATTTGGAAGCGTTTCGCAACTTATTTTCAATCTTTTCCCTACTTTTAAGTGTTTTGCGGCTTACTTTGAGTCTACTTCTGTGTTCTTCACAACCACCCATTCCACACGATAACCTTGATTTATTGCAACGCTTATATTATGATTATATTGTTATATCATACTATATAAGCTGATAGTTCACACTTTGCATAAGATTCCAGTTATTAGTGGCAGTTATACGCAACGGTACTCTTCATGTTCTCTGGGTATCTGCGATATGACCACATGATGTATATATAGAGAAAATTTTTGCGCAGCAGAGTTCATTTTTGGGGTAACCGCGGTCCAATCAGTCTCTACTTTTTTCTCCAATACAGTTTACGGTAAGTAGAAATTTTCCAACTATTTGTGAAATACGATCGTTTGGACCTCTTTTTAAAGTTTCATTTCCAATCTTTATATCTCAAACATCCCAATTATCGCAGTTGCTAGCGGAATATAGGCCTTCGAGTTAGTTATCGACACCGACTAACCACTAGCTTTAAACAGAATGCTCGACTTCGTGATAGGGCTCCACGCTGGACTTTTCGTAGTTGGCGCAGGACAACAGCTTTCGACACTCAAACTTGGGATTAAATCTTTATATACATAAAGGCAAAAAACCAGTACAACAGGAATAACGATGAAAAGAATACTGGCGTAAGAATAAGGCAATCAAGTCGAACGTAAGACTCCCAAAAGTCCCAAAAAAGAGGCGGTGCTCGTCCGGGCGTGGTTACGTCCAAGCGAGGGTCAAGGCCCTAGACGCGGGGTCCATTCCCCAAACAATGAGACGTACTCAGCAGCATGCCCGGTGGTGTGACCGATGGTCACGTGATGCTGTGTCTAGTGGTGTTGTGGCAAAGGCCGTCTCCATCGACCCATTGAATGTCTGCTAGGTAGATAGAGAATTTTGGTAGAGGAATTCTTTATACGAAGTTCCTTAGGATCAAAATATTTACGTACTACGACATTTGCCAGGCAACTCGAGAAACAGTAGATCTGATCCTTACTACAGAAACATGCAGTAATAGAAAGAAATAGTAACTATTCCGGGGATATGTCGTTCTTGTTCAGCAATCGCGAGGTTTTTAAACAGCATACATTTACTTCCATAAAAAACACAATACAATACAACGCTAGCTGACGTTTCGGCAGTATCGCCTTCTTCAGAGCCTGGAAGGGTATGCTGATATACAATCTACTAGGCCAAACGCTTCAATAACACTTACAAAAAGACGAAGAACTCTTTGGTAATTACACGATCAACAACTTCTCGAAAAACCCACCGCTTTTTCGTGACTTCCAATGAGGAAGTTTAGAACAGCTGATTATAGTCGCATGTGGTTGACGACTGCACCATCCCACATCAAAAATCGATGCGAACATTTTTATTTTCTCTGCTTTTATTTGAAGAAGCGATCATGTTTGGATAATGTTATAGATAACATTGTTAGCTTTTCCACGGCACCATGCGGGTACTTCGCTTCACCTTTCTCTCAGCTAGTTTTCTATCTACCGGTATCGTCAGTGATCAGATGTTAAAGACGCTGTTATACTGCTAATGAATACCAAAAGTAGCTAAATTTGTTGGCTGCACTACATACAAAAGAGCTACACATTGATAGACTAAGGGATTTGTAATTCGTTTCCATGTTGTCCCTTTGAGGCAGCTCTCAGCTCTTATTCTAATAATCAAGCTTCGTACTCAAAAGATTGATTTCACGACTGCGTTTTAACACAGCGGGTACTCTCGGTATTTCAGAAAACAACAAACATGTCAACTGGTTCAGCCTCACAGTGAATCAGCCTCAGTACCCTCCGACTTAGGGCGCTCCTAAGCACCCAAAGTCGTAAAAAACTTGCTGCGCTAGAGTTTTGTCAACGCCCATTTGAAGAAATGCCGAAAAATGCCATCATCTTCTAAGCTTATACGCAGGAGAACAGCTGCTGTTGACGTTGCTAAGGCAGCTCAGTATCAAATTTGAAGCACGCCATTTCGCGCGTATGCCACTGTGGGCGCCATTTTTGAATTGGAGCTGATTTTTTTTTTTAGGGGCCAGGAACAGAGGTTTCACAACAGTGCACACGTGTCTCCTTCTTTTGTTGCGTTGTATGTCATTTCCTTGTTTTTAGGATGTTTTTTCTTCCTAAAGTTCATTGAAAGTTTTGTATATAGGTGATTTTTATAAGCACGAAAGGAATGGTTGCAGTTCCTGTTCGCCTTTAATTCCTTAACGAAATGGATTTTACGGATTTCGTGAACGAGCGACCTGTGGAGTTTGATGATGAGAATAACCAACTGAAAGCGGTTCGCTCACCTGTTTTTTTCTTTCCTACTTCATTTGGTCCTCGTTTTGATGCAAAGCTCTTCTAGGATGTTTTTTAATAGTTGGTCTTCTTCCGTCTTCATCACCGCATTCTATTTTTACAGGAACTAAAGCGTCTGCGTGATACGTTGCTTAGAAACAATGAAATAATGAACGAACTAGAAGAAGAAAATGTTGAGCTTCATGGAAAAATAGAAAAAATTAGCTTAGGATGTCCTAAGTGTGCCGTTTTGGAGCAAACTGTTCTTGGTTTGAAAAGTACGGTGGGTATTTTAGCCTTGCGGAATCTATTTACGAGTCGTTTCTTCCTTTCCGTCATTTCGCTCTTTCCAGTTAGAGCAATACACCGTTGATTCTTGTCGAATGTCGGAGGAAATAGCGGCTTTGAATGCTTCACTTGATTCGGCAAGGGCAGAAATTGATGAATTGCGGAGAGGTCGTACACTGATTTCACCTGATGAAAGCACATTCAACACATCTTTGGATACAAGTACGATGGTAAGACGTCACGAAGTCTGCTAGAAGATTTAGCGCTTTTTCCTTGGAAATATGGCACTTCAAGGAAGATAACAGTCCTTGTGAAGTTAAGGCTAAAGACGGTCTTCTTTCTGTCAAGCTTACACTGCACTTCTAGTTCTTAAGAGTTGGTTACTATAAGGCGTGAAACTGCGTTCAAGTTCTATATCATTTCAGAATCGCTTGCAAGAGGAGAGAGATATCGCCATGTTTGAATTACAAAGCGCCAAGTATCAGATTAGTGCCTTAGAGTTTGAAAGGAATGATAATGCTGAGCGAGCGGATGCATTAGCTGTTGAGGCACAGGAACTGCGGAAACAACTCAAAGTTTGTCAGGCGTTGTTTTATCCTGAACTTAGTGTACGATTCTTTATATTCTTGTTGAGCAAAATTACTTACTTGGTTTTTGCACGGCCCGTCCTTAATGGTTGTGCTGGCCCAACAAAATCTCTACTTTGTCGGAACTTTGCTGGTTTAGCTATTCTTGATTCCCGGAATCCCGAGGTAAGCCAGGCCAAGGTCTGCCCCAGGTCGTCACCACCACAGGCAGTCGTCGCCCTTGTAGATAACAGGGAGATTTGCCACCATGCGACTAGTTTTAGTAGCAAGACGGTGACAGATCCTGGTATTTGTTTACTCTTAGCTAGGCTTCCTGATGGAAACGCTATATTCCTAAACTTTGAAGATCCTGCTAGGGAGGTGAATCCCCCGCTGTACATCGCAGCCCAACACAGGAACACCTCCCAGCCGCGATGAAGAGCAGTAAGCCGTTTGAAAGAACCAAACAGGGAAAATGCTAAATCAAAATTTCAATCACATTAAGCACAGAATAGCATCCTTGTACACTCACCATTTTCTATGAGTCTTCCACGGAATATGTCGCGTGGCGCCCACAAAAGTTGGTCGTGGGAATTAGCGCGTGCTTTTTGTCGTTGCGATTCTATCTTGATTTTGATGTTCAGGAATTGCGTGAGCAACTACATCAGATCGAATCGGAGCGTATGGAATCTGTCATTAACATTGGTATCTCCAAGAGAGGAAATTCTATGTTTGCAGAGGATAGTAATGTGATATCATTCATCTTTTATCTCTTGGTATATGCTGATTCGTGAAGTTTTAGTTCGCCGAGGAACGCCTCAAGCTGGAATCCGATTTTAAGCTACTGTACTCCAGATATCTACTCGTTAGTAAGGAAAACTGTCGGCTTTACGGTGAGCTCGACGAAGCACGACTTTTCGCTTCTCAACAAAGCGGAAGCGAGGTTGGTGATGGCGGTTTAAAAAATGGCATTCTAATACGATTATGCTGACAACTTATATACTTTCAGTAGTTGGGAAACCTTCCATACAGTTTAGATGTGTCGTCTGCATACCACTTGTTTCATTTTTACGTCAACCGACATCACATATCTTATGGATCCCAGCAATTCTTTCATTCGACCCGTCTCATGTCTAACGTCCACTACCGTCCTAGGATTTACGTGTGGACTGGAGCTCGAGGAGGATTTTTCAGCTTCGACACACGTTTCTTTGATTTCTGGTGGTGTCGATTCTCCGTGGAATGCTTAACTGTCCATCCAGAGTGTTTTCAGGTCTTCACAACAGTCATTTGCTTTTGCAAATGGCAAGTGGCTCTTCCTAGATAAGTCATCTACTGATTTTCGGAAACGGAAAGGATTCGGGGCTTTGTTGCACTGTAACAAGATTAAATAAGGCCTTGCAAGTGTTACTAAAACTAAACTTTAACTCTGCGTTCACCAAATCTTTTGTACTATTCATCAAAAACGCAGGATAGAACGTTCGTTGTTGGTCAACCTTTGATGAGAAATACCCCGTGTATTCAACTTTTCCAGCCATCATTCAGATGATAGAGCGCATATTTGGCTTATACGATGACTAGCGGTGGCCTAAGTATGTTTCAAATTAATATATTTAACATTTCGGGAGAGTATGGTACCCACCTGAGGCTTCATAGGAAGGGGAGTTTTGTGAACTCACAGCAGGAAACCGAAAGAGTGTGCTGGCTCGTGTAGATTGCCGGACAGTTCTGAACACTGTACTTTACGTAATTATCCGCTGGATTGATCCTCATCGTTTGGGTGTTTAGAAGAATTCAGAATCTCCTTAAGTTGTTCCATTTACGCCTAATTGTTTATTTCTGTTTAAGTACAACTAAGGAATGGATTGCAATACGAGTACAGACCTTGTGCTTTCCAACACCGCCATGAACGTTATGTTTATCTCGTTGCTGTACGTGTTCAGAAACTCAGTTCTTAAAGGCAGCTGGACGATGTCGATGCTACTACATGTCTACAGAATTAGTTGAACTCAGAGCAAGACTACAAACAATGGACTATCGGTTGGCACGTGCGCAGAATGATCTTATCGATTTAGCGAAGACGAAATGTGGCACTGATCCGTTGCTGAAAAGTTACTATAGATCCTTGAAGTGAGGTTAATACCTACATAGAACGTAGCTTTTCTTGATTATATGA